ATTCATTTATTTAACTTCAGCCAGGATAAGTCACTAGAAGCTAAAGACTGCCACTTCTATGACTAAAGTCATTTGACTACTGTTGCTGACAGAACAATCTGGTGGAGAGTTTGATGTGGATGTAGCTTTAAGTACTCCACGTACTGATAAAGTAACAGTCAGGTGCCAGCCAGCGTTCGGTGGGAAAGCAGAGTAGAGCCATATTTGTTCTTGATGGTAATGTTATGTGGCCCTCTTAAAGCTTTGCAGAAGGTAAGGTTTTATTATCTGTGAATAAAAACAGAAACCAAGACAGACAATACCTGTAACCAGATCATTGATTTATTTCTCTATCTAATGAGTCAAGATGAAAACTAGACAGAAGAATAGTAACAGATTGCAGGTCTATGGCATTGTCATAACAGCACTGAAGGGTGATCTTTGCTAAATACCTCCCTGAGACAATGCACCAGGGGCTGATAAAAGGGTAGGAGGCTTTGCAGCTTGTGAGTCCCACTGATTGCTGAAATTCAGACTGGAAACAAGTATTATTCTCCTAAAACTAGAGTTAAGCTTTTGCTTGCCAGTTTAGGATCTGCTTTGCACAATAAAGTAAGTGTGCACTTGCTTTTCTAAAGACTGATGGCTCTACACAATCAAAGATCCTTCGCCTAATCAGAGAAATGAAACAGTGGAGTGATATATACAGTGCCCTTGATAATGTTTGGGACAGAAAAACATGTTTTGAAGTTTTGTCTTTGTAAACCACCACAGTAGATGTAAATCAACATGATTGAAGTGCAGACTTTCAGCTTTAATTGAAAGGGTTTTACAAAATCTTTGCATGAACTAACATCCACTCACATCCTGGGCCATTTGACCTCAGTAAATTACATGATAGGATTGGGCAAGGTTTCACAATGGGTCCACCTGAAACCTTGGCTGACTGTGACCCACACCTGTTTTCACACCTTGGCTTGTGCAATTAGGTAGAGGGTGACTAGGGAGTCCATGACCCTCTTGTGGACACTTCCATAGCGCTTAAAATCTGGGACTCTCCACCAATTGCAATTAGAACTGAAGAGGTTTCTCAGATGAGAGGTGAAGTGTCTTCAAGAAAACTTAAAGAAGTCCAGATGCTTTTCTTTCCAAGCTCCTTAGACTACAATGACCTGGATGACTGAGAACCTTCACACACAACCCAGTGAGTTTTTTACGGACAAATGCCCTGTATATGGGGTCAATGTCAGCTGAACCAGCTCAACCTAATGAAAAGTAAATTTCAATAATGATTTCTATAATACTAGTTAACAGTAGTATTATGGACAGACATTACCATATCAAGTCTGTGTTCCTGTGTTCTGTTACTTTGTGTTTTATCTTGATAGTCTGTCGTCTCATGTGCATTATGCTCAGATTGGCTTCCCTTGTCTCATTCTTTAGATTCAGTTTAGCTTAGTGTTTTTTCCCCACGTGTTTCCACTTCCCTAATTACCCTCCTATGCATATAATATGTTATGTCAGTGTCCCTTTGTCAAGGCATCTGTTTTACTTCCCGAGTGTTTCTCAGCCCTAGTGAGGTTTTCAGTTTCTGCAGTTTTCAGTTCCTAGTGTAGCCTTTATCAATCTGCGGGATCGATAAAGGGACAAAAAAAGGGAAACAAAAAAAAGTAAATGTCCACAATTTAGACATTAATTACGTTATATTTTATAAGTGGTTTAGCAGCAACAGTAATGTGACACAAAAGCAATTTGACAAACTTAAATGTTATTAAATATATGTATTGTTTTACAGTCAATGGCCACCTAAAGTCTAGAAGCCATAGAAACCAAATCTCTCTTGAGATGCTTTGCTCGTGGGCCTCTGTCTTCAGTTTTATATTCAGTAACTGAAACGTATGCTCTGTTGGGTTCAGGTGACTAACTTGGCAATTGGAGAATATTCTCTTTTTTTGAGTATAGCCCTGTACATTTCAGAATACATGCTATCCTTATCAACATTCACATCATCAATGAACACAGTTAATCTTAGTCTAATGTGGGCTTTTTGTTCTCGAGTGTAACCACTGGTTCAGTCCTTGTCGTAAATGCCCTTCATTTATATTCATGACGGCATTTTTTGATTGAAGACTTTTTCAGTGATATACCTGTCTCCTGAAAACTGTTCTTGATTTTCCAACATGATGTGAAAGGCGTTCTCTTAAGCAATGAAAGATTTGTAATGATCTACTTTATTTTTCAGGCCATTTTAGGCCAAAAACTCACATTTGCCTAAGAAGCAAAGGAGCAGCTGAAGGTTGCTTTCACCTTGGTTGTCTTTCAGGGATTATGATGTTGGTGAGCTGTTTAGTCTGTTGGCAATTCACTCGATTTCAATTTCTTGTCTCTTTGACTCACAGTGAAAATTCCAGCCTGCCAATTCCAAGTTCAACAGTAAACGATTCCAGATATTTAATTTTTGCAGTTAATGGAATATCTGTTAAAAATCACAGAATTAAACCTGGAAGTGTGCAGTTCAATCGCATGTTGATCTTTTTTTCAAATCCACTGTAGTGTAAACACAATGAAGCACACAAAAGAAATGACACAGAAAAAGTATTTAAAATCTATTTAATATTTCATGCAAAAATTTCAAGACATCTTTTGTGTAGATAAACTCGTAACAAGCATTTCTCATGTGTGATTTTGGCACATTTTTCCACACAAAACAACAAGTCTTCCAATCCTGAAAGTTCTGTGGGCTCCTTCTATGAACTCCAATTCTTAGCTTTAATCCTTTGCATAGATTTTCAACTGGATTCAGGTCAGATGATTGGCTGGGCCATTCTAGCAGCTTTCTTTCCCCTTTCCCTGAGACCAATGGAGAGTTTCCTTGGCTGTGTGTTTGGGATCATTATCTTGCTGGAACGTTCACACTCGTTTCATTTTAATCATCCTGGAAGATGGCAGCAGATTTCTAATCAAGAATGTCTCCCTACATTTTTCCTTTCATCCTTCATTCAATTGTACAAAGCAAACCAGTGCTGTATGTTGAAAAATGATTTTCCCACCTCCAAACTTCACTGTTGGTATGGTGTTTTTGGGGTGATGTGCAGTGCCTTTTGACCTTTGAACTACAAACATGGTGCATTTTATGGCATCCAAACAGTTCAATTTTGGTCTCATCTGACCAGACTATATTCTCCCAGTATTTCACAGGCTTGTCTAAATGTTGTTCGGTTGTTCGCAGCATCCTTTTTCTTCAGCTGTGGAGTCTTGCATGGTGAGTGTATATACAGGTCATGGTGGTTGAGTGCATTACTTTTTTTTTTCCCTCTGAAACAATTGTACCTGCTAATTCCAGGTCTTGCTGTAGCTCTTGGACAAGTTTTCTGAAAATTCTTTTCACTCCTCTGTCTGACATCCTGTGGTGAACACCTGGCTGTGGCCGGTTTATGTTGAAATGATCTATCCACTTCTGGATTTTGGCCCCAACAGTGCTCACTGGAACCTTCAGTAGTTCAGAAATTGTTCTGTAACCAATGCAATCAATAAGGTTTTAAAGATCTTAAGAGTATTCCTCTACTTGTATTCCTTTGTAATATTTCTTTTATCCTTAATTGAACTCTATTTTTCTGTAATTCAGATTTGAGTATTTGCCTTTCCTGTCTACATTTCCCACATTCTAACATGTTCAAACCTTTCCTCTTGTCCACAAAATTCACAATTCCCTGTTGTGCGACACCTTGGTAATAGGTGGCAGGATTGCTTTCTAATTACTGATAGATTTCAGCTGGTGTCATGGCTTTTCATGCCTTTTTGCACCTTTGTTTCATCATGTGTTCAATACCTTTTCCCTGTGTCATTTCTCATTATTACACATTTGAATTTACAAAATTTATGGATTCATTTTATATCATTTGGAGCAATGCTTATTTATCTGCTGTGTGTGTGGATTTGGTTTGTCAAGATGTGATATGTGTACATCAGAAAGATGCAGAGAAGGACCGAGTGACATTCTGAATGGCATCTTAAATATTCTGGATTTTCTTGTAAACTGGTGAATGATGCACTTACTAGATGACTGACCCAAAAATATACAAGTGTGCGGTTTGTGATGACACTGACAGATAAATATTTTTATCTGTTTTAGTTTGTGTAAGTTTATTTTCCTGATTTTCAAGCAGGTTCAGTAGTCAGATTTGGGGTTCAGGTTGGGACCCACAGTGTGGAGACTGAAATCAGCCAATACTTCAGTTCAGCAAGTGTCATTGTTTGCATCTGTGTAAGTCGCTGTAACTAACTTGTGCAGTGACCTTTTAGACAGTCACTGCCCTGCCAGAGATCCTGATGGCTTGCAGTTTTTTTTGTGTGATTTATTTTACATAAAGAAAAATGTCCGTGCTTCCACCCAATTTTATCCGCTTATCCACTTCAGGGGTGCTGTAGCTTATTCCAGCTGTCACAGGGTGAAAGGAAAGTTATGTCAGTCGGAATCCAAACAGTTTTCCTCTCAGTCTAAATTGTTCAGGCAAAATATTTAGGCTAATGATTACAGTATTTCAGTGCTTCAGCATTTAACAGAGTATAGAAGCATTCACACCAGCAGCATTTAATATATATATATATATATATTTGAAATAGTTAAAATTGTAAGATGAAATATTTTACTTAATATTGAATCATTTGGGGCTACATGTCTAATTCTGAGGAATGCAGTCATCTTGTTAAACAATGTAAGAACTGCAAAAAACACAGCACTATGTGAAAAGTGGATTTTCTTGTTTGTTGGTTTGTTTTGATTGCTAAAAGTGAACAAAGTTACACACTAATGAGATTAGAAATAGTTCAGACTATTCAAAGGGCATTCCCACTTTTCTGGTTTATCTGGAATACATAGATGCATTTCTGGTTCGCCATCTGCACTGCTTCCAGTCAGTTATTACTGAAGTAATATAGTATATATTAAGAAAAAATGATCCAAGATGTTAATGTACTTATGTCCTTTCCTGCCTTTTTTTTTGTCTGTTTCTCCTTCACAGAGGCAAATGTTTGTTCTGCGGTATCTAAAGGATACATCTCTGGCTTCTTGTGGCTTTATGAGGACTGGCACAACAAAGATAACCAAGATGTTGCCATAGCAATCCGTCATGCACTCCTGTGCTGCCTCCTTAAGGCCACTGACAGCACTGCAGGCAGGCAGGCTTTTCTATCCCAGGGAGGTATCAGACTCCTATATCAAACTGCACAGGTGAGTTCAAATTGTTTCTAGGTGAAGTTAATCTGACTTGATGAGGTAGAAACCAACTGCCTGTGTGCCAGTATAGTCCTTTTTCCATTAGTACCTACTTAAATCGACTCGACTCGGCTGTATTTGATCAACCTAATCTAAATGCATTTATCATGCTAAATTGCAAAGATTTCTAAGTTTTTGTTGAAAGGTGTGTCCATGGTGCCAAAGTGAATATTGATGATGTTTAGCATCAGGAGATACAACTTTATTGGCAATAAACACAACACTTTTATTGGCTCAATATCTGATCCTAACACAGGACACCTACATTGTACATTGAGTAAGCTCAAATTTTACAGTAGTTTCATTTTAATAGAAATAAAGGAGAATATAAACCAAAAAATCCAAAGAAAAAGTGCATCACATAGAAATGATAAACTGTAATATACAAAAGACAAAATGAATGAAAGACAAATGTGAGTTTGGGAGGGTAGGTTTCGGCATTCTGTTGGTACAATATAGCTCATTCATTAACATTAAACTAATCTGTTAGCTCATATTTTTCTTTTTTTTTCATGTTGTTTCAATTTTCTTGTTTGTTTCTGTGCAGACATGTTTATTAAGCAAAAATCTGGAGTGTTTGGTGGAGCCATCCATGCAGCTGATGAGGAAGTGTCTTCCTAGAATTCCTCTACCAGTCACATCAGATCAGTCTGCATATAGCTTTCTCCTGCCTGGTACACCTGCTTTCCCGGATGTTAGTGAGACACCAGGTAAAGTCCCAGGATTCATAGACCTCCAAAAACTGTTTAGACTTCAGGAGCCCCAAACAGACAATCTTTAGTTAATCTTATGTAGTCTGAGACTGGCCATTTTTATTCCATTAAGGGTTAATGGGGTATTTTCGTCACCCCACTGCGTGAGTTGGCAGCGTGGACACCCACGTTTGTAGATTTAATAACTTGAGAATGAGGCAACGTAGCACTTTGATATTTATACCATAGGTGTATCTACTGAAAATGAACAAGATTGAATCACGGTGACCTTGACCTCAAGGCCAACATTTAATAAAATTAAATGTTATTAGGAAATGATGAGACATAAGACGGTTTTTGGGGAATTCTGTTACATGATCAGTTTCAGTGCCATGTTTCAGAAGAAAATATAGAGTATGTGTGGTGGGTGGGTTCTTTAGCCAATTGACTCCAATTATAGATGGAATGGTGTGTTGAGGCTGTCATGTTTAGTATCTCCATGGATGTTAAAATCACCTGCAATAATTATTTTATCTCAGCTGATCTCTATACATTACAAGTACAGAGACAGGCCCAAACAAACAAACATACACAGCTTTTTGTTTGTTTGTTTGTTTTTTGTCTGGGAGAGGATGCAGGCTGTAGGGGGATGGGGTTTTGGAGACAGGCAGACAGAAGCTGCAGAGAGGCGTGTAAGACTGCAGCTCTGCTCAGTAATGTTTCTAGAGTAATTTTTTATACTTCAAAAATATCTCAAGTTAGAAAATTGACTCTGAGAATTTGGCCCACGCAGTCATATCAGGCTGGTTAGACTACTGTAACGCTCCATTTGTTGGACGACTGTAAGCAGCACGAATGCAGCAGCCAGAGTTCTGTCCACATACTTGGAAATTTAAATGTATTACCCCAGTACTGAAGTCACTTCATTATCTTCCAGTTCAGTACAGCAATGTAAATTTTGACAGTAAATTCTGATTTAATCTATGTCATAGTCTTTAGACTAAAATGTAATTTGGCTTTAGTCATAATTTTGGCATCTAAATTCTTTTAGTTTTAGTTGACTAAATATCATAAGATCATAATAGACTAAATCTGAAGTTGATTCAGTTGACTAAAATATAGATTGTATAAGTAACAAACCATCTTATTTTCCTTGAGATGAAATGAAACGTGTCCATATATGTGCTTTTCTCATCCTCTCAAACATTGATATTTTTTCATGAAAAACAGGTGTCATGGGAGCATCTCTCATCCTGTTTGTTGGTGGCAGATCAAATTGTTACTTCTGACTGGATCGCTTCCAAGCTCACTCCACCTCTTTACACAACTTGATGTGTTCTGATTGGATCTTGTCTCTCCAGAACATTTTAATCTAATTTTTATTCATCAACAAAAGTGTCAATACATTTCAACATAGTTTTTGTCCTTTGCATTTGTTTAAGTATAAACCTAATTTAAGTATAATGAAATGTGCTATATAAATTAAATGTCCATTATGATTGTAATTTTACTTTGGAGTCAACAGTCACTCTAACTTATCGGTTTTCTGTTGTGTATATATCTGTTGTAGATGAGAGCAGTGATGAGAGCGATGCTGAAGAAGCTGAAGATAACCATGAGGCCAACAACAGAGACTATGTGAGTCTATGCAGATGGAGTGCTTAGGATTGTCACCTCACTGCAAGAAAGTTTATGGTTTGAAATCTGGTTTTTGGCCTGTGCATACCTTCTGGGTACTGCAGCTACCTTCCACAGTACAAAGGCATGAACTTGAAATACTTTATCTGGCTGGTTCAGGAGGAAGAGTGTGTCATCTATGAACTGCTTGTAGAGGTTGGTCATTTGATCCCCAGCTCCTCTAGTCTGAATAGCAACGTATCCTTGCGATACCTTGAGATACTGAGTTGAAGCATCCATTGGAGTGTGAATGGTAGATAAAAAGCATTTTTATGACTGGGTGAATGTTTTATGAAGCTTAGAGTTCATCTTTACCTGAGAAAAATAGCTCGTAAATAAAACAGTAGGCATTTTATTTTCCTTTTTCATGTCATGTTGCAACAGGACATAAGCTTTTAACAGTACGCAGCAAGTACAGAGCTGCTCCTACAATACAAGTATTGTGCTGCTTTGGCAGTTTCAGAGAAACTTTGGATGATTCACAGTATTATACCTCAGTACTAACTTGGGATCTGCTGTAAAAACGTCACTGCCCACAGGGCTGACTGCCATCTCAAGTTAAACCTTTCCTTCCTGAATCTCCCCTCCAAGGTTGGTGAATAATGTGTCAGTGTCCGTTGTCCAGTGGTTACTGTGCATTGAGGCTGGGCCTTTTAGTTCCTGGTTTACAGGACTGGTTCCTTTCGAGTAAGTGATAAAACAATTTTAAAAAATAACAAAATACACAGACTCTACTGCAGTAGGCTGCTTGTAAGCAAAGCACCATGGTTAACAAAATGTGTACAGTATTGTGCAAAAGTGTTGAGCCAACATTTATTTCTTTATCTTTTGCTGTGACAATGAGAAATAGGAGCAACAATTTATTGAAACATGTTAAAACACAAATGGGAATTCAATATATAAGGCAAAAACCGAGTTTGTACACACAAACTAAACTTGGAGTCAATAATTTATGTCTTCTGAAGTCTTTTAGGTAGCTTTCTGTAATCTCTTCTTGAATAGTTCTCCAGGCTTTGTGAAGGACATCCAAAGCTCTGGATGTTTGTCATTGTCATTGTCATGCAGAACAAAGAAGTGTTTTCCAATCATGCACTTTCCACATGGTATTGCACTGTTGTTTCTAAATCTAAACATATTTTTCTGTGTTCCTAATTACATCAATTTTGATAAGATCTCCAGCACTACTGGCTGAAATGCAGCACCAAACCAGACTCGCTGTCAACTCACTGTTGTACCTCTCTCCTGACTTTGTCAGTGCACATTAATAAAGATTTAACCTAAAATTTCAAATTGAGGTTCATCACTTCATTATAACACACAAGCAACTTGTTCTGATCCTTGACTAAAGAGACGCCTCTCTACATTCAATATCCTCATCATGTCAGATTAAACTGTTCATAAATCCTTCCACAAGAAGAGCTGAACATATTCATATCACATGTCAATATATCTGTTTTCTTCTAGAACATTGCATTGCTTCCATAATCTTGGCAACATTACACTCTTCATATCATCGGCAGTCAAGGACTCAGCAAAGGCCAGAGAGTGAGATTCTACTTAACCTGGAACTCTTCAGTGTTGTTTGTAGTCTGTTATGCCACTGATTATAGGTGACTTAAATGCCAGGATCAATGGAAACATCTCGTACCATCACGAAACAAACTACCGACATACTTTTCAACCAGATTTTCAATCAGAATAAGACTTTTCTGGTTGGCAAAGCACACTGGACAGCAGATGTTTTTCATCATATGTACAACAACTACAAACTTTACAAACCGTACTTGACTATAACAAGTATCATTCAAAGTTTAACTGACTAACAGTGTGACTGTCATTGTGATACTGGGTGACAATGTCTATGTTGCTAATCTCTCTATGTGTAGCAACATAAAATGCTAAGCTTTATTTTGTTTGTAATTTTCATATGATTGTAGTAATAGTATAAGAATGAGGAGTATTTATAAGGCAGTTTCAATTTTCAAGATAAGTCAGTTGAACCTTTGCATTGCAAGAATTGCAAATCTCCTAAGTAGCCAACCACATAAAACTCCTGCCCTCCCAAATCAGTGCTAAATTCAACAATCAATATTCTGTAAACAAGACTCACAATTATGACCAGAACACACCAGCATCTTGCGTCCAGCCCCATGTCTAAAGTTGGTATGATTCGCTCTCTCCCCATGTATGAATTTCCCTCATTTAAGTGTAAAAACTCCATATTGAAAATACCAACACCTATAAAGCTTGTAACAGTGTCATTAGCAAACATTAAGTTTACAATAATAGAGAAAACCACAACAAAGACAACAACCCCCAATGAGCAAGCACTTGGCGACGGTGGAAATGAAAAACTCCCTTTGAACACGAAGAAACCTCGAGCAGAACCAGGCTCACAGAGGGTCAGCCATCAGCTGCGAGCTGTTGGGGGTCAACTAGCATGAAAATAATTATTTGATATATGCTGCTGTAAGTATATATTGAAGACTCATGAGTCATTATGCATTTGTGTGCATCTTTGTCCAGGATGATGACTTGGAGACTGACCTGAACAAACTTCGTCTTCCTCCTGACCCTGACAGACCTAAAGAGCTGCTTACACAGTACAGCTGCTTTTGCCCTGAGCTGTCACATGATTTCCAGGTATGCACCTCTCTCTCGCTCTCTGTCTTGTGTTTGTGTGTGTGTGCATTTGTTTGTTAAATGAATAAATTGTTAACTTCCCCAAATGTGTTGTTTCTTTGGACTTCAATCATCCGATTCAATAAAGAACACTAAACAAAGTAGTAGAATAAGCTGTTTGGCATTGGCAACAACGATTCAGCAAGTTTCTCAAGCACCATTTAAGGTGAAATAAACAGACTTTCCACCAGTATAATATTCATTGCCAAGAAACATTGTTACAAAGAAATAAATGACCAAAGACAAACTTCCTTTTGTGCGAAGTTTTTTTTAAAGGAAAAAGATGTTGGTTTCATGTTTAATTCAATAAAAGTGTGTTGTATTTTTTTTGTCTCAAGACACTGCCGACATTTTTCTGTATGAAGCCAAACCCTTTGTCTAGATTAACTCTAAACACAACCATAAAACTAAAATGTTACTAAGTAATTAAGTAGAAAGTAAGAAAATGGTACAGATCGATGGAAAAGCTTTGATATTTTCTTAACCACTTGTCCAATTCAGGAATGCAGGGATCCTGTGCCAGCTGTCTACAGATCACCAGTCCATTACAGGGCTGTGTTATGACCTGGTTCATAAACCACAACATAAAATGGAGACTGAAGCCACAACTTTATTTAAGCTAAAAAATGACAGCAAAAAGGAATCAATTAGGAGAGCATAACAAGGTCCACCCTTTGTCAAGTACAGACAATTAGCAATTAAACCCAGTCAATTTGCAGTGCCACTTTAAAGGCAGGTAGTGCTTGCAGAGGGGTGTAACACCTCCCCCCAGGAACTGAAAAGGAATTTAGAGAAATCACCCCTGGAGTCTTTTCTAGTTGTTGACCTAAAAGACAACATGGGGAAAGATGGAAAACAAGTGTGGCTCACAGCAGCCACAAACGAAGTTACTCCAATCAGTGGACACCTACAGCCAAGACACAGAGGCAGAATATCATTCCTGCCTAAGACCAATTTAAAGTCACCAATGAACCTTCTATGCATGTCTTTTGGATTGTGGTTTGAACCTGGCATACTGGAGAGATCACACAGTAAGAATATGCCAATTCCACACAGCAATGCTTCAGGTAGCTGGCAGATTCAGACCTAGAATCTTCTTGCTGTGAGGCAACAGGGCTGGCCTCTACACCACAGTCGTGCCAAAAATGTTTCGTAGTGGAACAGATTGTGTTTCAGACATTTGGCAGCTTCAAGTTGTATTTAAATTTGTAGTTAATTTCAGACATTTCTATGATATAGTGAAGGACAAACAAAACACGTGTTCGTATTGGTCATGACTGTACTGTACCGCCTGAAGTGGAATATGTTGTTAAGATTAAGATTAAGATTAATTAATATTTTTCCATCTTGTAATGATACACTAAAGAGCCAACAGTAAAATCACTTATGAACTGATAACCTTTATCATCTTGTGCATTGAAAAACAAAATCAGACAAAATATTAAAGTGATGCTGAGGTTAGCACTGTCACTTAACAGCAAGAAGGGTTCTGATTCAAGTCTTTGAGATATCACAGCCTTTCTATATGGCATTTCCTGCTCTTGTGCCTGTGTGAATTTCCTCACTTCGTGTTCCTCCCACTGTCCAAAGACTGCTCATAGATGTGAGGTAGATAGTGTGCTTAAATTATATAAAATAAAGCACTGTGTGGTTATGTGTGGCTTGTAGTCTGAAAGACTTTGAGTGGCCAGTTAGACTAGAAAAGCACAATATAAATGCTGTTACTGGCAGCTGATGTCACCGTGACGTCACCACGCAATGATTTTGTAGAGTGACAACAATATTGTCTGTAATATTTAACCACTACATGTATTTTCAGGTTTTAGAGTCAGTTTACCTGTATATATGTATAGTATGATCTATGTGGACCGGAAGCAAACAACGTGATGTCTAGAAATGTCATCTCATCACCCTCAGTGTGGAAGAAGGAGGCTAATAGGTAGACTCTTGTTTAACATGGCATACTTATTACGTTGGCAATCACGATTTCAACATAATTTTTTTCACTTTTGCACACATCATCCACATAATTTTCTATATAATCAAAACTTTGTAATGCCACATAGCCAGGTAACAGTTTGTTCAAAAGGCTCTCTATTATGTATTTGCTAGTTCCACACTCACCTCACCTTGGAAATAAATGATGCAGCATTGAATATATAACTGAACATCGCTCATGTTTCAAAAGACCAAGTGGCCTCCAAGGTATGTTTGTACATAGGCTACCACTCGGTCAGATGTCAGAAATGGCCTGTGTGACTGGGTTAGCTCACAACTGCCCACATGTTTACACAAAGCCTCTTCAGAAAAAATCAAGCATCTTTTGTGAGGTCTTACAATGTACAGTTGGTGTTTTGCCAGAGTAAGACGTGACTATACCTGTGTTTTTCAGGAGCTGGATCTGAGTTCAGAGACAGGGGATAGTTCAACAGCATCATCATCATCAGATGATGAGGTAGTGCTCCTTAACAAGGACAGGACAAAGACTACTGCAAGTCGAGATTCCTCTACCTCTGATTGTTCTTACTCAGAGATGGAAATATCCAGTAGAGACATGCCAGGTCAGAGCCAGCTTAAACACACAACATCTAAAACAGTGGTTCTTAACCTTGTTGGAGGTACTGAACCCCACCAGTTTCATATGCGAATTCACTGAACCCCTCTTTAGTGAAAAATAAAATATGATTTTTTTCAAATTCAAGACATAGATATGTTTTTTTTACTGGTGCACAAAAAGAGCCGTGCATGTCATGGCGGAGGCTCTGCCCAAACCCCTGAGACCGACTCACCTAGGGTTCGATCGAACCCAGGTTAAGAACCACTGATCTAAATGCAACACTGGCCCAAAAGTAGGGTCCTACTTTACGAAAAGTTGCATTGAGATTTCTGTTGTGTTTTTGTGCTATGTAAAAAAAATTGAATTGAACTGAAAAACCATGATCAATTACAAAAAGATAGCTCTGGATAATGACATCAGCCTATAGAGAAAGTGATGCATATTTCCAGCTTATGCTTATCCCTCTCACAAACAGAAGCAGAATGAGTAGCACTCTTTACCATCTACTTTTAAGAGCAAAATCATTAATATATTTGAATGTTTATAACAATGTTTTTAAACACAGCTTTATAACAGCTAAAAATGTTAACCTTTATTTAACCAGGAAAAAACTTGAGATTAAAAATCTCTTTTACAAGAGTGTCCTGGCCAAGGACAGCATACGATAAATTTATAGCACCTAAACATGCAAAGTTACCAGTTAAGTACAGTCAAAGAGTAAAAAACACAGCAAAGAAACCTTCTGATGAGGTTTTAACAACCTCATCAGAAATATTAAAGCAGCTTATTTACACAGAATTCAATTTTCTACAGTGGAACATGCTGTGCACCAGCCCTACAAGCATTGACAGCAGCCCATTCATTCATTTGGTCAATAATATATATGACACATTACTATTATAAAATTCATTCTTTATTATTGTTAGTTGTTGACAGATTTTTAAAATCAGTTTTTGATGATTAAATTATTCACTTTAATTAAAAGTTTAAAAGTTGACATTTATGAAATACTGAGCCAACTCTAAAACTAAAGAAAAACGTCTGCTTGAGTACCTCACAGCTAGTGAACTGAGTTAGTAACCTGATTACTGTTGATTACTGACCATGCCTTAAACTAATAAATTATAAGTTTACAATTCTGCCAGCAACTAATTACTGGTCAAATATCTGCAAAATAACACATTATTGTCTTTTTCACTCAATCGTGAATCTATTTTGTTTCTTTTGCAAGAAATATTGCACATTTCTTTTCATTCTCATTAATTCCACTGATTTTTATTTGCTCTGCCAAGTAAACAATACTCGGGACCTCTTCTAAGAATTACAAGTTAATTTCACAAAAATTCTTTTACATCACTGTATTAGCTCCTTCATTTGTTTTGTAGGAATTTAAAAACTCATTATTTTCCCTTTCTCACTCTTCAGCTGCTGCCCATTTAGAAGCGTGTGATTTCCACAGTCACAGCAGCATCCTGGGCACAAGCCCTGGGTTCAGGACCATGGTTAGAGGGGCAATGTAAGCTCAAAGTCTTCATGCTAACTGCATGTACTGCATGGACTAAGCTTCTGTCAAGCTGTTTTAACTGAAATGTAAATTATCCTGACAATGCAAAACAAACTGTCAAAAACTTAAATCTACTGCTTGTTAAATTGACAAGAGGCATGAGGCAGATTCAAGGCCAGAACTGTGGCATTTATTGACATGATGCAGAAATCCAACTTGCCTAATTCATCCATTCACACCTTCATTTTGTCTAAGGAAGTGCTTTCTATTTAACATTCACATACTTTAATGGAATTGCAACTTGAGCAGCTTGGGGTTAGTATCTTGCGCGAGGATATTTGGGGGTGTAGACTGGAGCAGACAGGGACCAACCTTCCAATTAGTAGAGGACCTGCTCTACCTCATGGGCTACATTGTTATTCTTCTTCCAGCAGTACTATCACCCTAGTCCCGTCAGCCTAACTTTTATTTGGTTTTGTTTTGTTTGGTTTCTGGTGTTCGGCGGCTAACTCCGTGTGCATCACTGGAAGAATTTAAATCTTTCTGACTTTGCTGTTGCTTTTGAAATCTCATCTTAGGATTCTGACCTCATTCCTTTTTAATCCTAGGGGAGAAGCCTCCCCATGTCAGAGAGAAGATGAGCAAGATAATGAAGAAGGTGGAACAGAAGAATTTTATCATCATACAATAATAGACAGGTTACTGGAGCGGCACGGAGCCGGTATTCCCCACCATGATCCCAAGCTATATTGTGCAGTAGCTTCCAAAACCAAATCCATTCCAGATTTTAGCATCCTGGCCTTTCCTGATTTCTGGGGTCATCTTCCACCACCAGGACATCAACCCATGGCCCCACGCAAACCCAACATACAGAGGTATTAGATACATGCAATAATAATGTAGTTCATGTAACAAGTACGTAGAAAGTTAGACCTCTAAGCATTTTTATAGTGAAAAGAATGGAGAGCGTTCACTCCAGATGGCTACATGTTTACCACTAACTGTATTCCTAATATGGTATGTTCTAACAAGTACTCATGTTGAAAGATGGGAACCTGGTCAATATCATTTTGATATCAGTTTAAGGGGCCAACATGACAGCTAAACTTATTAATATTTCTTTTATTACTTCTCTTTTTATTATTATTATATTTATTATTTTTCATGTCTTTATCACCTGATGATGTTGACTTTTCTTGCTTATTGTCATTTGTTTGAAGGTAAAATTGATACCTTTTATTTTGCATTATTTCTAAAGTCAAGTTTTACAAGTCTGCTAGTGGTTTTTCTTCACATTGCACTAATCGTAGGCCTACTGCTAAGAGCTAAATCCGTTAGTCCAGAAAAGCAACAGGGGCGATGACAGGGTTTTAGTACTGGACAATAGCAAACTATTAGTATGTAATATAATGAAACCTGGTGTAATGATATGAAACACCTATGTCCAATCACAGCAAGAGATGGCAGCAGGGGAATTTTTTAAACCTCCTGGATTGCTTTTATATTTGAGCAGCTTTATCCATTATACCATCACAGCTGGTGACACTAACAGACTGAATAAATAGACCAAAAACTTTTCAGAGCAGAAAAGAACAGATGACTGACTGATGTTACAGACTAAAGAGGAAGTATAGCGATCACAGCAGGATGTATATAAGTATTTAAGCAATAATTATTTAATAATGACTCAGATATTTACTGCTTCTGTAAATATAAAGGATAGGTTTTTTAAACATATTTCAAGGACTGTGATTCAAATATTTGACGCTTGACTATGCTTGTGTGTTTATCAGACAGAAAGTGTTTGAAGATATTCACCGTTTTCTGAAAACTGATGACATCATTAACCATGTTGTCTTTGACCTCGAAGATAACAAGTAAGTTACCCTCCCCTCACCCCCTGCTCCCCATCTCCATTCTTTCTTTAATTGGTTGTTTTCCCGGGACGGACTTGGACTTGACGATTTGAGCTTGAAAGATTAAAACCTTAAACCAACATGTAGACTTGTGTTTCTGAGCTGATTAAAAGCTGTTGTGGTCCTCGCAGCACAGCCTTTGCAAAACCTATGAGTTTATTGAATATGAAGAGTTTTTTGAACCATAAACATCCTCAGCAGTAATACTGATCAATGTAATGCTGATGGGGAGCATTTTTCAGGAAAATAAATACTTCTATTTTTGATACATGCAAATGTTAAATTTGACAGTAATACAGTTTTATGTGTTGTTTTATAGTATTTGTTGCTTTTGTTCCAAAATAATTCCTTCACCACTCATAAGAGAATGTGAGTGATGTTTGAATCTAGTACAATTTGTCTTGGGAAAGACTAAAAGAAACTTTATTTTTATCTATGCATCAAGCCATTTTCTTCTGCTTATTCAATTCAGGGTCAGGGGAAGGAGGAAGGCAGGGTACAAGCTTGGACAGCTTACCAGTCTGTTGCGGGTCTAGAAATGGCAACCATTCATTTTAACTTAATTAAATTTTTTTGGAGGGGTTGCACCCAATGTTCCCACTAAGCTGCGCGCGTGCGCAATTGCGGACTGCTGGCACGGTCTCTGCGCACAGACAATCTGCGTTGCGCACAAAAAAAATCTAACCTGAATTGAAATTAAAAT